AGTAAGGAATCAAAAATAATCCACTGCATAACTCATGGTGTGAGATAGCTGGACACTTCACTTAGCCATGAGTATTACCATCAGAGGTGATGGATCAGCGAAATCCATTTAGACGTAGGCATACTCGGGGAGCAAAAGCATACTGTCTTTGGTCATATCTACATTTTAATCTAAAACTAGATTGCAATTTACAATCCAAACATTTAATACAAATATACAATGCTAACCATTAAATGAACACCACTAGACTGTGGATCTCCTCGTTACCCATAAAGCTCACAACATCAAATATCTGAAAACTGCCAGCCCTACATGAAACAAAGTTTAAATTTCCAATACTACTTATCAGAACTCTAAGGTTGCACTCTCATTCAAACCCTTCATGCAGGCCTGTATCTGCCCTGTGACATAGTGTTCCATTTAAAAGTCAGGCTCATGGGAGTTCAGAAACCCTAATGTTGCTAGAAATTTGTCAGATTTGGAGAATTTCAATCACCTGAAATATTGCAAGACTAGAGTCAAAATGCACCAATTCCATTTGATACTAGTGAAGTATCTATCAAAACTTCTCTTCATACCCAGTGCATGGAACCTCCTTCCACCTGGATTTGTAACATTTGAAAAAAGTTCTATTAAGAACAGAACTTATTATCTGGGGCCCAAAGCTCTCAGAGGCTAGATGTGCAAACTGGAGCACCTCAGCATTTAATGGGTAGTGCTGTGTGATTAAAGTAAAGAGAATGTGCGCAAAAGCTCAAAATTATAGACTAATCCACAGCAAGGTGAAAATCCATCACCCCCACTATAACACTGTCCCTGAACCACCAGACCCACAGACCCATTACCCTACGGGATTGAAAGAATTACCTGACCTACAAATTCTCTTCATTTTTGCCTTCAATATTGGTAAATGCAATTCCTTGCAGAAGGGACGAAAAGAAGGGATTAAAGAAATATTACTGCACCTAGTCTCTGGCCAGTGCAGACAACAAAATCCCATAGGAGAGTGACGCCTAGCATACCAGCTGTGTCAAAGAACCAAAGTCACTGCAAACCCAAATCTAAGAGCCTACTGTCAGGCACATTAAATTCATGGATGGCAGCTATGGTTAGTGTTCTTTGCAAAGGTCTCTGCGAAATACAACCAGCCACTAAATACAGCATGCCAATTAATGTGGTGGGTTTTCTGCATGCCAGAACTCCTGTTCTAGATTCTAAAACAAGGTAAAGAGAAAACACTTTAAAGGGAGGCCATCAACTTAAAAAAAAAAAATCTGTCTGAAAATGTTTTACCTACTACAAGCAATAGCTAAGGGAAAGATAAAAGGAAATTAGAGAAACAAATTATCTATTTTTGTAATCTACTTTCTGTAGTTGACAGTCACTTAGAGTCAGGTTCACTGTTTTCCCTGTACAGTCAGTCAGTCTTCCCCTGTTTCGTGGATATTTTTTTACTAGTAGCTTCCAGGTTTGAGCTGCAGACACAACTGGAGAATGCTTTTCTTTTTAAATTTCCAAGAGATTGCATGGAAACACTTACATCACTCTTGGGGTTTTGTGAAGCCTTCTTTTTATAGAATCTAGTTTGGGGCCTGAATTGATCTGACAATGCCCCTTTTAAAATTAAAATACTTAGTATCTTTAAAGTACTTTTTAACATAGTTATAGTATGCACCCTAATTTCCATGGTATGAGCTTAGAGAAAGGGGGAATCTCCATTGCAGAAAATGTTAGTGGACACACAAAATTAAATCCAATTCAAAATGTTTGTTTAATGTACTCAGGCTGTGGTCTCCTGTATTATCTGACCAACCATATTCATTTCACCATGGAAATGTAAGTTTCTTTGCTACCGTTCGCAAGTTTTGTTGCTGGCAGAAGTACATAAAAATAGACACACACCCCCCCCCCCCATTCTTCTATCTGCTGCAGCTAGTCTTCATTTGGAAAGATCTGGGGTAGAAATATTTTCATTGTACCCGCAACTTCTTCATTACTCTGGCAAGAAAGAAGCAGCACAGTGTCCTACACCAGCTTTTATAAACAGATTTCTTGCCTCAGGAAGGTCACCTCACAACCTCCAGTGCCAAGGTAATGGGGTCAACAGTAATTCCTGTGGCCCCTCAGCACATCCTGTGGGTGAGGTAGGTAGGTAGAGTCGTGTTCAGTGACTTGCCCAGGATCTCAAGTCAGTAGCAGAGCCAGGATCAGAACCCAGGGATCCTGACTCCCAGTCCTGACCACACTTCTTCTAATGGAAAGTTTAGTTTTAGTTTGGGATTCTAAAAATGTTATCAGTTTGTGAAGTAAAACTTTGAAATAAAGATGTTATTCTACTGGCAAAGATCTCAAAGATAAACCCACAGGCACAACACTCAGAAAGATTCTGTGACCTTGCAGACAAACTCTAATAGACCATCACTCCATCAACCCTTCCTTCCCCACCAACACCATTAACATTAACTTGCAAGCATCTCTCCCTATGCCTCACCTCTCCACATGTGAGCCAAACATATGCGTGCTCTTCTTTGGCACAAGCTTCCACAGCCACTCTCCATTAATAGTGGGTCAAAGTTCAATCTGACATGCTTGTTGTTTGGATAAGAGCCCCTCTTCTTGTCCCTGAGCTGAGACACAGCAATAAATGTGCTGTTTTAATGGCTGTTGTACTTTGAACTGTGTGGCACCCTGAGCACCTCAGGTATGGACGCTTTGTAAATAAATTGATTAAATCCTAAACCTTCCAAACGGATATTGCTAAGATGCAATGCTGGTAAGAGACTACAGAAGCAGCAGGGCAGACACCTGAAAAGTAGGCATTTGCACCTTCCTTGACACCCACCCCAAAAAGGGGGCAGAATATTTGGGAATTATTTCCTTATTGAAACAAATCTAGTTTATGTTTGTGAAGTAAAGAGGATACAGTTTCCCATAACAACAGTTGGCACAACCCATCTTAAACCCCAGCATTCAGCTACATAGGGAGACCCAGGAACAAACACTGGCATGGAACCTCAGGCATAGACAAACTGCCATGAAAAGCTTCCCATGGACATCAGTGTACTATCGCTTAGAGCAAACACAGCAATTCACCTGCACTTTACAGTGAAACATCCCCCACCAGGTCGGTCGTTAACAGCCAAGACACATTAACTAGGAGCACCTTGGTAACAGCCAAAATAAAATTCCATTCAGTTTTTTACCTGCACAAATCTCTATAGTTAAGATTCCTTCCACTCCTTCTGGATTCCAGTTAAACACCTATATGGCAATTCCAGACCAGATTCTCTGAGATACAAAGCTACAGCCCTGTTTACCAAGCATTTTCAAACCATTTTAGCACCTTCTTCAAAAGAGTGTGCAAATACTATTCTTGATAGGGAATAACACTGCTTGAAAACTAAACACAATCTGGTTGTACCCCAGGGGCAATGCTTGCACAATCATGGAGATCAGTGCAAAGATTCCTTACAACTTCAAGCCAGCATCTGAGAAAAATGCATTGTATCAGCCAAGAGCGGAGGAAGAGAAATAAGGTACCATAACCTCCAGCTCACAAAATGTCAACTTCCCTTGTAAACATTATTGAAAGATGCTCAACAGAGGCCCTTTCCTCCCTATCACTACCACCACCCAATTTTTTTTTAAAATACATCACTGTGTAGGGGGCGGAACTAGTCATGAGAATTTTGTCCTTCTGTTCGCTAGACTGGACTTAAACAGAGCAAATAGATGGACACAATTCTCATGACTAGTTCTCAAGCTGCTCCACTACCTCTTATTACATCTTATTACAAAGAGGTTATTACACACACAAAGTTTTGTATCCACTATTTTTGGCAGTTCCCCTCTGTTGACATTTCTATCTCAGGGAGTTCCAAGATGGCATGTGGGGAGAAAAACACCTTAATTCCTTCAAAAGCAGAGAGGGTAAGTTAGGAGACGTTTTACCAAAGCAGGACTGTACCTTTAAGGGGCCGTGTAATAGGATGAGTAGCTGCATTCCTGCTCAGGAAGGGCTGCTGTCCCAACATGCAGGAGAGGCTGAAAATAACCTGCACACATACAACCTTCTAGCTCAGAACTCATCCTCTATGTCACAGTCTCTCAAAACACAGAGAGCAGAGGAAACAAACAGAGGGCGCAGCAGAAACAAAGAGCTAAATCCATTAGAGACCAAACTTCAGAGAGAGGAGGAAGGAGGCTGCATGTGCAGCCGAAGGGAAGGGGCCCTTTGGAAAACCGTGAATCATACAAGAATAGATCAAGGGAGCGGGGCTCCTTTTCTGTGGCTTTGTGAAGGGCCTGGCCCGATTACTGCAGCATTATCTACTCGGAAAGTTGTTCAGTGATCTTCAGGAATCCCTCCAGACCCCCACCATTAACTCGCCAGTCTCTGGGGCAGGGGAAAAAGCGAGTGCCCGGGGGCATGGGGTGAGGACAGAGCAGACAAAGCCCAACTGGGGAGAAGGCAACGCGAGGTTGCCCAGGTATCTAACCCCGCGGGATGCCTCCAGCGCCAGAGCGAGGCAAACTCTCAGCCGTCTCCAGCCCACTACTAAATCAACAGATTCCGCCAGCGCGCCCCTTCCCGGGGTGCCCCGCACGCGGCGCTCGGGGGAGCTCTCCCCCCCGAGAGCCAGCCAGGTGCGCGGTCCCTGACACAGCGCTAGCGAGGGACTCACCCCGCGCTCGGGACGCGGCTTTGGAGGAAAAGGGGCCCAAGAGTCCGAGCAGCTGCTGGGGTCTCCAAGCACCAAGGCCCGGGGGAAGGAGCAGCTGCTGCCCCCAGCTCTCAGCCGGGCGAGTACAGCCCTCCTGGCCCGAGAAGCTGGGCAGTGGGATCCTGCACCTGGGCTGCCCCGCAGGGGGAGTCCCGCACCCCGACAGCGCTGGAGGAGCGGTACCGCTACTGTCCCCGGCCAGGGGCCTTCAGGGCACGGCGGGGGCTGCGGAAGGGGGCTGCCCAGGGAAGAGACGATCCTGAGGCAAGCGCTTACCTCGGACGCAGAGCAGGGCTCCCAGCAACAGCGGCAGGAGGGAGCCCCCGAGCCGCCTCATGCTGGCAGCCCCCGCCGCAGCTCCAGCCCTGCACCGGGCTCTGGGGCACAGAAAGTTCTCCGGGTCGCTCCGCAGCAGCGACCGCTCCTCCGACGGGCTGGGCGCTCGCTGCAGCCCCGGCCGGCCGAGCTCCGCTGGGACCATGCACCAGAGCTGGGGGTGGCTCAGTGTCTAGGGTGCATTAGCTCGTGCAGCTTCCTCCAACGCGACCGCAACCGAGGGAGTCCGCTGCAGGCTCAAGCTCCCAGCTCAGCCCGCCCAGGCCCTGCCCCCAGAGGCGGAGCCCTGCCGGGGAAGCCCCCGCCCCAGCTCTCCCCAACCAGAACCCCAGAGCTGCAGCGCTGAGGAAACTTCTCAAACTTCCCGAGTCCCCAGGCACCGGCACTGTCAAACCCAGTGCAGCCCCCATTACCCCAGGCTCCTTCCAGTCATCCCCCAGGAAATGGCACTGGGACCGCCCCAGCCTCCCTCCAAGGCAGGCCCCGGTGCCTCCGTTACCCTTCTAGTGCGCCCCCCCCACCCCACCAGCATCCCTACCATCACCCTGTATCCAACCAGAAGGGCAGCTCCACTGCTCCCACCAGGGCACTTCCCAGCTAGCCCCGGTCTCCGCACCAGAGTAGCAGGCCTTAGCCTCCGGCACCGCCCCATCACACCTCCCAACCGGAGGTTTGCCCTAGCCTAGGGCATTTCCCTAGCCTGGGACAGTCTCCATCCACCCTTATCCCTACAGGGAAGCGCCCAACTCTACCTGGCTAACCCCCATTCCTTAATCCTCATTCCCTCACCCTCCTGAAGTATCTCCAGTCCCCAACAGCTCTCTGATTAGTTTATTCGTATTCCCTTTAGTCCTCCAACAGTGCATCCCTCAGGACAATCCCCTCCTCCAGAGCACTGAGCCATCTGCAATGCATGGTGCACTCTGGCAGCCCATCCTACTAGATCTTCCACAGGGCATCTCTGGTTTCTGAGTGCATTGCCATGTATATCTCCATCCCTCAGAGACCTATCTTAGTACCAGAGCAATATTCCAATTCTCTGAGATTTCTGCATAGTTTATAGTACTCTTGAACACTCTATCTGGGCTATTTTGCAAAGTCCTGCCCCTTCTCCCTGGAGCATCCCCCTTTTGCCTCTAGTGCATCTAAACAAGCTTTTAGATCAGAATTCAAAATGATCTGGACAAATTGGAGAAATGGTCTGAGTTAAACAGGATGAAGTTTAACAAAGACAAATGCAAAGTGCTCCACTTAGGAAGAAAAAATCAGTTTCACACATACAGAATGGGAAGAGACTGTCTAGGAAGGAGTACGGCAGAAAGGGATCTAGGGGTTATAGTGGACCACAAGCTAAATATGAGTCAACAGTGTGATGCTGTTGCAAAAAAAGCAAACGTGATTCTGGGATGTATTAACAGGTGTGTTGTGAGCAAGACACGAGAAGTCATTCTTCCGCTCTACTCTGCTCTGGTTAGGCCTCAGCTGGAGTATTGTGTCCAGTTCTGGGCACCGCATTTCAAGAAAGATGTGGAGAAATTGGAAAGGGTCCAGAGAAGAGCAACAAGAATGATTAAAGGTCTTGAGAACATGACCTATGAAGGAAGGCTGAAAGAATTGGGTTTGTTTAGTTTGGAAAAGAGAAGACTGAGAGGGGACATGATAGCAGTTTTCAGGTATCTAAAAGGGTGTCATAAGGAGGAGGGAGAAAACTTGTTCACCTTAGCCTCTGAGGATAGAACAAGAAACAATGGGCTTAAACTGCAGCAAGGGAGGTCTAGGTTGGACATTAGGAAAAAGTTCCTAACTGTCAGAGTGGTTAAACACTGGAATAGATTGCCTAGGGAGGTTGTGGAATCTCCATCTCTGGAGATATTTAAGAGTAGGTTAGATAAGTGTCTATCAGGGATGGTCTAGATGGTATTTGGTCCTGCCATGCGGGCAGGGGACTGGACTCGATGACCTCTCGAGGTCCCTTCCAGTCCTAGAATCTATGAATCTATGAATTTGTGCCATCTGTAAGGTGAATACTCCCCTCCAGCCCTTGCTCGTCCATCCCTTTCCTGAACCCATTACTCAGTGCATGCTGCAATGTCCTTGTGGGAAATATCTGATACCATATTTCAATCTCCTTATTTTATTGTGAGTCTCATTAAATTCAGTGTTCTTCTTAAAGCCCCAGATTCTAGAGACAGCTGATTAGGTGAAAATCTTAGCTTTCATTTAAAATAAATAAATATGTTTCTAGCCCTCACAGTTGTGGAGAAACACTTAAAAATCTGATCCAAGTGCCCCCTAAAGACTCAGAAACCAGAAGGCAAATAAACTGTTTGTTTGTTTGTTTGTTTTGTAAACTCAATTTTTAAGCAATTCTCATGATTTTTTTGAGCCTGACTCAGGCTTTTTTTTAACTCTGGGGATTTACATTACAATAAACTTTAGTTGAAAAATCAGTCTTAGTTGGCTTGAAGACATTAATGTGAATGAATAACTGGTTAAGAGACCCTAAACAAAGGGTCTGAACTGCAGGCTGAGGTGAGAGTTGTGTCAAATTGGTACCACTGGGCCAGAGGTAGAAATGGTCTTACTTAACATCTTCATTAATATGAATTCAGTGGGAGCTGCAGATGCTCAGCTCCTCTAAGGATCAAGATCTAATGATCTGCCAGAGTGAGTAACCAGCACACCAGTGAAATGTGCCAATTATGCTAAATTAGAAGGAATTGAAAAAAAAATAGTGAGGAGAAAGAACATTGTTAGAAAATTGGTGAGAAAAGAAAAAATAGACTCATTCTGGCCAAATTAAGCTAATGCATCTAGAAAGACTTAATCTGAAACAGAGCCTCAATGTGGAGAAGAAACCTGAGGTAAGCGGCAAGTCAGACAGAAGTTTTAAATATGGTGTGGCTGCTACACAGGCCAATGCAATTTTTGTCTATATATGTGAAAGCAACACATCCCTGAGCAGATAGGGGATACGTTCCCTCTATATGGAATATACAACCGGACCTGGAAAATTGAATTTAATTCTGATTACTTCCTCAGCAGAGATATATTCATGAACTGGAGGAAATTCAAAGAAGAGCAACAAAAATGATCAGGTAGCTGGAGGAAGTGATGCAGGAGGAGAGATGAAAAAGGCTAGATATGCTTACTGTGGCTAAGCAACATCTGAGGCAATGGGGGGACATGAAGAGTATGCAAATATTTGAAGAGTGTAAACTCCAAGGAGAGAGAGGTATCGTTTATGGTGAAACAAGGGGTAGAATTAGGAGTAATGGGATGAAGTTAAGAACATGTTGGTTGAATTTAGCCAGAAACCTACTCAGCTTCAGAATAAAATTAGACCCATTTCCCACAATAACAAAAATACTTCTACCTATTTGTGGAAAGAAGAACAGACCCAAAGCTTGTTTATGTCTAGACTCCCTGCAGGATCTATAGGGTGAGAGCCTCAGCTAGTAAATCAGCATAGCTCTGTTGAGTTCCATGATCAGGTCCACAGAAGTTTGTAAGATGCTCAGATGCACCAGTGCTGAGTATGGTAAAAGTACATAGATTAGACATAGAACTTCCTGATGGTGACGTGCATGAAGCTGTATAAAAGTTTCCGAAGGATTGAGACAGAAGCATTTTCCCCTGCATGAAACCAAATCCTTTTGAGAAATACTTTGTCATGACTTTTAATAAACAAATAAGCCTGGTAATTTTTGTCCCCTCCGCTCTCCTGGGAAATTTATTATTCCCTTGTATGTGGTTGCATTGTGTTTACAAAGTCATGCTATAAAAGGAAGAGGACACCTACTGAGCTACCAAAAAGTAGTATGTTTAGACTAGGATTGTGGGAGTCAGATGACCTGGGTTCTTGTCACTTTTTCTGTCTTTTTCTGTCACTTTTTCTGTGCATGACATTAGGCAAATCACTTCCCCTGTCCATACCTCAGGTTCCCCATTTGTACAATGGGGATAATTATCCTTACTATGCTTTGTACATAACGTAGAGATTCTCTGGTGAAAACACTAGAGAAGTGCAAAATATGATCAAGAGGGTAAGCTCCTGTGCTTGGGAAGCAAGGACAGAGGCATAAGCAGGTAAGGCCACTAGCAGAGAAATGAGGGCACCTTGTAAAACACATTGTCAAATAATAAGTATTTTACAGAGAAACCTTGATGAGAAGAAGGAAAGAAGAATTGGAGTACGTAAAAAACGTTTTTTATGTTTTATCTGTCAAAGTGTTTTTACAGATCCCACCATGGGCTATGTGCACAAACCTTCCCTGAGATGTTAATAAATATGTAATTTATATATAACTAATTAGAAAGGCTATTAGGAAATCTTGCATTGTGACTGGTCAAGAGCAGTTCCTCAGTAGGTGGAGCATTGATTAACTGGGACTATAGTCTATGAAGAAAAAAACAAGTTGTTCCACACAGGGCAGTTGGGTCAAGAGCGTGCTATGGCTCTTGACCAGTCAAAATTCAAGATTTCCTGCATTACCTTTATTACCATTATTATTCATAATTACTGCATTATTACAACATGCATCTCAGTTCCCTTCCCTGTGACATCTCTAGTGATCAAAAAAGATTGTAGCTTGAGTGGCCTAGGGTTTTGGAGTTGAAGAGCCAACGTTTGAGTTCCACATCTCCAGGAGTATATGAAATATACATATACCTGACTCTGGCATCTTCATGTGAATACTTTATACTGTGGATTCACCTCTTTCCTTGGTTGCTTTCCCTGAAGTTTTCTAACCATTGATGTTTTTTATAAGATGTGCTTATGGTTGTCAGTTAAACTCTACTGCTTTCCTGTATACTGCTTTCAACCATCAATGCTATATTTTACACTGTAGATCTGCAAAACCAAACACATATTAAGAAAAACTAAACCTAATGTCCCCAATACTAATTTCCCCCTACTATTATTCACACCTTCTTGTCAACTGTATGAAATGGAACAGAGAGTCCTGTGGCACCTTTAACACTAACGGATGTATTGGAACATAAGCTTTCGTGGGTGAATACTGCATGGCGTCTGATGAAGTGGGTATTCACCCACGAAAGCTTATGCTCCAATACATCTGTTAGTCTTCAAGGTGCCACAGGACTCTCTGTTGCTTTTTACAGATCCAGACTAACACAGCT